TGTGGGTGAAACCTTCAGCAAGACCTTCTCACCAATCATATAGGATACATCTCGGACTTTCCTGTCCGCATAACTCTTCTGCCTCGACTGCGCTGTACGAAGTCTCTCCTGAATCACCTTCACCTTCTCCAATGCACCCTGAACCAAATCTGTCCCTAGAATCTAGCCTCACTGGGCTCGAACCAACCAACTGGATATCTACACCGTCTCCCATACAAGGCCTCATACGGTGCCATCTGAATGCTGGACTAATAGCTGTTGTTGTAAGCAAACTTTGCAAGCGGTAGAAACCGATACCATGACCCTCCAAAGTCAATAACACAGGCGCGTAGCATATCCTCCAATATCTGAATGGTGCGCTCAGACTGCCCGTCCGTCTGAGGGTGAAAGGCTGTGCTCAACTGCACCTTAGTACCCAACTCTCGCTGAACCGCCTGCCAAAACTGAGAGGTATACTGAGTGCCCCAATCTGATATGATGGAAACTGGGACACCATGCAACCGAACAATCTCCTGAATATAAATCTCTGCCAGCCGCTTTGAAGAATAAGTAGTACAAACTGGAATGAATTGCGCGGACTTGGTTAGGCTGTCTACAACCACCCAAATAGCATCAAACTTCTTCAAAGTCCGAGGGAGTCCGGTAACGAAATTCATAGTGATCCTCTCCCACTTCCACTCAGGAATAACCATCTGTTGGTGCAAGCCACCTGGTCTCTGATGCTCATATTTCACCTACTGACAATTAAGACACCGGGCTACATACTCTACAATATCTCTCTTCATCCTCCGCCACCAATAGTGCTGTCTAAGATCTTGATACATCTTCGCGGCACCCGGATGAATGGAATACCGCGAGCTATGGGCCTCCTCCAATATCAACTCCCGAAGCCCATCCACATTGGGCATGCAAATCCGGCCCTGCATCCTCAACACACCATCATCACCAATGGTCACGTCTCTGGCATCATCATGTTGTACCCTGTCCTTAAGGACAAGCAAATGCGGATCATCATACTGACACTCCCTGATGCGGTCATACAAGGAAGACCGAGAAACCACACAAGCCAACACCCGATTGGGCTCTGAAATATCTAGTCTCACAAATCGATTGGACATGCCTGAACATCAACTGCCAATGGCCTCTCCCCAACTGGAATGTATGCAGCTCCCCATACTCACCGCCTTTCGGCTCAAAGCATCGGCCACTACATTGGCCTTCCTCAGGTGATACAGAATGGTGATATCATAATCCTTAAGTAACTCTAGCCACCTCCGCTGCCTCAAATTAAGATCCTTTTGCTTGAACAAATGCTGAAGACTGCGATGATCAGTGAATACCTCACAAGATATGCCATACAAGTAATGCCTCCAAATCTTCAATGTATGAACTATAGCAGCTAGCTCCAAATCATGAACGGGGTAGTTCTGCTCGTGGGGCTTCAACTGACGAGAAGCATAAGCGATAACTCTACCCTCCTGCATCAATACACAGCCGATTCCAACTCTGGAAGCATTGTAATATACCGTATAAGAACCTGAAGCTGATGGCAAAACCAGTATTGGAGATATGGTCAAAGCAGTCTTGAGCTTCTGAAAGCTCTCCTCATACTCATCCGACCATACAAATGAAACACCCTTCTGAGTTAACTTGGTCAAGGGTGATGCAATAGAGGAAAAACCCTGAACAAACCGGCGACAATAGCCTGCCAACCCAAGAAAACTACGAATCTCTGTGGTTGAAGATGGTCTAGGCCAACTCTGCACCGCATCTATCTTCTTCGGGTCAACCTGAATACCCTCGCTGGACACCACGTGTCCCAAGAAAGCCACTGAACCGAGCCAGAACTCACACTTGGAGAACTTTGCATAAAGCCTCTCCTCCCTCAATCTCTGCAATACAACTCGCAAATGTTGCGCGTATCCTCCTGACTACGCGAGTATACCAGAATATCATCAATGAACACTATGACAAATGAATCCAGATAAGGCCGAAATACACTGTTCATCAGATGCATGAACGCTGCTGGGGCATTGGTCAGCCCGAAAGACATGACAAGAAACTCATAGTGACCATATCTAGTCCTGAAAGCAGTCTTATGAATATTTGAATCCCTGATCTTCAACTGGTGATAACCCGAACGGAGATCAATCTTGGAAAACACCCTCGCTCCCTGAAGCTGGTCAAACAAATCATCTATGCGAGGCAGGGGATACTTGTTCTTCACTGTTACCTTGTTCAATTGCCTATAATCGATACACATTCTCATTGTGCCATCCTTCTTCTTCACAAACAGGACTAGCGAACCCCAAGGTGACACACTAGGCCGAATGAACCCCTTATCTAGGAGCTCCTAAAGCTGCTCCTTCAATTCCTTCAATTCCGCTGGTGCCATACGATATGGCGGAATAGAGATGGGCTGAGTGCCCGGCACCAGGTCAATACCAAAATCAATATCCCTGTCCGGCGGCATGCCCGGCAGGTCTGCAGGAAATACATCGGGAAAATCCCTCACAACTGGAACAGAATCAATGCTAGGAGTCTCAGCTCCAACATCCCTCACAAACGCCAAATAGGAAAGACAACCCTTCCCAACCATATGCTGGGCCTTCACGAGGAAATAACTCTACTAGGAACATAATCAGTCACACCACGCCACTCGATCCGCGGTACACCCGGCATAGCCAAAGTGACTGTCTTAGCATGACAGTCCAGAATGGCATGACACGGATATAACCAATCCATGCCCAAAATAACGTCGAAGTCCATCATGCTCAATAGCAATAGATCAACTCGGGTCTCCAGACCCCCAATAATCACAACACATGACCGGTACACACAGTCCACAACAACAGTATCGCCCACCGGGGTAGACACATGAACAGGTAAAGATAGAGACTCCCGGGGCATACCCAAATAACAAGCAAAATATGAAGACACATATGAATAGGTGGAACCAGGATCTAGTAATACTGAGGCGTCTCTATGGCAGACTGAAACAATACCTGTAATGACAGCGTCTGAAGCAATGGCATCTGTCCTGCTCGGCATAGCATAGAAACGAGCCTGGCCACCGCCTGATGGACCTCTACCTCTGGGACGACCCCTGGCTGCCTGATCTCCACCCCTAGCTGGTTGGGCGAGTGATGATGTAACTGGAGCAGAAGTCGAGAACTGACCCATATGCTGATGCTGACTGCCACGAAGTCGAGGGCACTGCCTCCTCAAGTGACCAAACTCTCCGCACTCATAACAACTGTCCGGTGCTGGAGATGGGGACTGAAGGGAACCCCTTACACCGGAGTGACTAGCAGATGCACTCGGCGCAGAAGAACCCTGAGCTGATGGGGCATGAGGTGAACTCTGAGCTGGGAGGGCGCTGAGTGAAGACTAACCCTGCTGGAACCCATGATGACCACGGCCTGAAGATCCCTCACGATACTCTGGACAGGCTGACTGAGCAGGCCTGAAAGAACGACCTCTACCATGCTGGAATTGGCCCCTCGAGGGAGCACCACTGTAACTGCCTGATCCACGAGGCCTCTTGGCCTGCCTCTCCTCTCACTCTCTACGGCGAACTGATTCGATCTCACGAGCGATATCCACCACCTCCTCAAATGTAGCACCCAATACTCTCTCTCTAGTCATCAAAATACGGAGATGATAGTTAAGTGCATCCACAAATCTCCTGATCCTCTCACGATCTGACGGAACCATCCAAATAGCATGAAGGGCCAACTGTGAAAACCTCATCTCGTACTGAGTCACGGTCATATCCCCCTGTGTCAACCACTCAAACTGCCTACGCAGCTCCTCTCTGCGGGACTGAGGTACATACTTCTCCAGGAAAAGAGCGGAAAACTGCTTCTAAGAAAGGGGTGCTGCACCAACAGGCCTACGCCTCTCAAAGTCCTCCCACCAAGTAAGAGCAGCCCCGGTAAACTGAAAGGTGGTAAATGCCACACCGCTCGACTTAAGGATCCCCGCCGTACGGAGCATACGCTGACGCCTGTCAAGAAAACCCTGGGCATCCTCACCCTCAGCACCATTGAACGTCGAATACTGGAGCCTACCGAACCTCTCGAGACGAAGATGCTCATAGTCTGGCATAGCTAGAACCACGAAGCCCTGAGTTGGTGCAACCTGCTGAACTGGAGGTGCCTCTGGTGTCTGTAGTCCCTGCACTACCTGCTCATGTGTGCGAGCAGCGGGGGTCTGATTGCCTCTCCCAGCCTGTGAAGTAGCTGCTGTGGTGGCTGAAACTGCCTGAGCCAGGCCAGTGCAGACTGATAATATCTGTGCTAAGGCCTCCTGAAGACCCAGAATCACGATAGACACAGCTGGTGCCTGAACAGGTGTTGTTGGTGTGTCCACAGCTGGAGCCTGATCCTGAGCTGGGGCAACTGCTGGACAGCAGGTGCTGCCCCGGCTGCTCTGCCTCTGCCACGACCGCGTCCACGGCCTCTGGCGGCCTCAGTAGGTGGTACTGGTGGTAGTCCGCCACGTCCGGTAGCTCGTGTCCTCACCATCTGTAAGAGAATAGAATAATAAAAGTTTAGTTCTCGGTTCAACAAAGCCGCACGACAAGAATTTCAATAATGTGAAGTTTTCCTAAGGGTTCTGCAGCCTCCCGAGGATAAGTACAGACGTCTCCGTACCGATCCACGAAACTCTACTAAACCGGCTCATGACTCGCGAGACCAAGTAACCTAGGCTCTGATACCAACTTGTCACGACCCCAACCCCGGTCGTGATGGCGCCCAACACACTACTAGGCAAGCCCGACCAATTTAATAACCTTAACCATTTTTATCCAGTTCATGAATTAATTAACACAGATAAATTACTAAGTCATAATACTGAAATTCTGAAATGGAGTTAAAATATGCGGAAATCCCAAATATCCATACTACTACACAGCCCGAAGAATCTGGTGTCACGAGTCTGAGCCTCTAATACATGAGTATTAACCTACTACATATCGTTCTAAAGAAATGCGGAAATAAAGCAATAAGATCGAAGGGAAGATCAGGACTGTGGACGTCACGCAGCTACCTCGATACTCCCGGATATGAGCTGCTCGGCAGACAAGTCCTTACTCAGCCTCAGATGCACCTAGATCTGCACGCAAGGTGCAGGGAGTAATGTGAGAACTCCGACCCAGTGAGTAATAAACATAAATAAAGGCTGAGAATAAGAAATCCTGAATAGGCACATAGTAATCTATAAATGCAGCAACTTAAACCAAGTAGTATAGAGTCAGTAAACCAATGAAAACAATTATGGAAAACTGCAACAGATAAGTAAATAAATGACAGTCAGATATGAAATGCAACACATAGTACGGTACTCTCTAGTACCCGCTGCGGCGTCCAGCCCGCTCCATTTATTTATCGTCGACGGTGCTCACTAGGGGTGTGCAGACTCCGGGAGGGGCCCCTTACGGCCCAAGCGCAATAATAAGCCATCTCGTGGCATCAACTAGGCCCTCGGCCTCATATCAATATCAATACAATACCGCTGCGGCGCGCAGCCCGATCCCATACTCAGTCCAGAATCACATAAGCCCCTCGGGCACAGTAATATAGAAATATTCAGCCCAAACTTCATTAAAAATATTAATTAAGTTTCAAGTTTGAGAAAAGGTGGCTAAGTTTACAAAATAGTATTAAATACTAGGACTGAGTTCAATTATATGTAAAAATGGTAAGAAACCAATAATAGCAATCCCTGAAGGATTTAATCTGTTGGCACGAGGCCCAAATATAGTAATCAGCTCAAATTATAATGATAACAAGTGATATTCAGTCAAATACACAGTAAATTCATCTATCGGGACGGACCAAGTCACAATCCCCAATGGTGCTCTACCCCACGCTCGCTATCCGGCGTGCAAGTCACCTCAATATAGCACTACGATGTGCAAATCCGGGGTTTCAAACCCTCAGGACATCATTTACATTTATTACTCATCTCAAGCCGGCCAAAATCCTAGCTCGCTATGCCCTTGCCTCTCAAATCGACCTCCTCGAGCGTCGAATCTGACCAAAACCAAAACGAATATGTCATAATATGCCCATGAAACAATACCCAATCGAAAACAATCGAAAAATATCAAAAATCTCGAAATTAGCAAAACCCGAGCCCCGGGCCCACTTCTCGAAAATTAGAAAATTTTACATCAACGGGTTCCTTATCTCGCCACGAGTCTATACATATAAAGATTACCAAAATCGGAGTCCAAATGACCCCACAAATCCCAATTTTTTCTCTTAAATTTCAAGCCCTAAACCACCATTTTTGCCCATTAATTACTTGAGTTTTCAGCTCTAATCCATGTATTTGCATCATAAAATCGTGTTTTAAGTCCAAGAATACATGCCTTATCAACACCCCTTGAAGTCCCTCTTCAAATCGCCCACAATCCTCCAAGTCCGAGTTAAAAATATGAAACCCTTCAAAAATTTGCGAAGATGGAATTAAATGGCTCTGCCCAGACATTACCGCATCTGCGGTCATAATGTCGCTTCTGCGACTCCCGCTTTTGCGGTCAACACGATGCTTCTGCGGAAATAACCGCTTCTGCGGTCGAATTTCCGCATATGCGGCTTCGGCTTCTGCGGACCAAGCTCCGCATTTGCGGATCCCATTAAATATCCAAAATTCGCATCTGCGGTCATTTTGTCGCATATGCAACTCCGCAGATGCGGTCATCGATTCCGCACCTGCGGTCCCTGCCGCTTCTGCGGTTCTCCCCTCGCTTCTGCGGTCCCAATTTCGCAGAAGCGAAAATACCCGAAGCAGCTGCAATTTCTTAGATTTCCAAAGCCAAAACTTCCCGTTAACCATCCGAAATCACCCCGAGGCCCCCGGGACCTCAACCAAAAATACCAACACCCCCTATAACATCATTCGAACTTGTTCCAATCATAAAAACACCTCAAACAACACTAAAACCATCATTTCTCATCGAATTCAAGCCTAAGTTCTTCAAAAACTTCCGAAATACGCATTCGATAAAAAACCCAACCAAATCACCTCCGAATGACCTGAAATTTTGCACACACATCCGAAATCACATAACGAAGCTACAGCAACTCTCGGAATTCCATTCCGACCCTCGGATCAAAATCTCACCTATCAACCGGGATTCGCCAAAATACTAACTTCGCCAATTCAAGCCTAATTCTACTCCGGACCTCCAAAAACACTTCCGACCACACTCCTAAGTCACAAATCATCCCCCAAAGCTAACCGAACCATCGGAAATCATATCCAAACCCTCTAACGCATAAGTCAATATCCGGTTAACTTTTCCAAAGCAACCCTTCCTTAAAGAGACTAAGTGTCTCATTTCCTTCTAAAATCAATCCAAATCAACTCGTTCACACAAGACTCTTATAATGAATCATAAAGAAGCAGAAAATGGGGAAAACGGTACGGTAACTCACGTGACGACGGTTCGGGTCGTCACATATATATATAAGACAAAGATATTATTTTAATTTTGTAACTAATCAGAAGCATGAAAACGATAACATATAAAAATGTAACCAAATCCTATTTTCAAATGAGACATCATCTTGGACAAACTTCTATGTGTTTTAAAATTTTTAAATCAGTCAAACAAATAGGCTGTGCTTTTCCACTTCTTTTACATCATTCTAAATTGGCAAGTATAAGATACCCTCTATCTAATAGCTAAACCTCTAAAGCAAAAATTCTGTAGGTACATACAGATACTTCATTCTTAGATAAAGAAGATATATTTCCAAGAAAATGTTCTAAAAATCCGATGAGCATGATGCCTAAAAAAAACTTGAAGCTCCTATAGACAAGATATCTAGTCCTTCTGAGATTGACATTATAACAATGATAAATTTTATATGCAGCCCCAAAATGAGTAACAAAGTAACTAGTTCTAAGTGACGTAGTGACTAATTAACTCTATATACAACTTGCCGAGTTTACGAGCAAAGTTATGGACACATCCGAATTTTCACATAACCAAAATCAAGAAAAACTCAATTCTGGACTTCACTCACATTCTAGCAATACGTTCTCATCACTTATAGGATTTTTAATTAAGTTAACTGAAAATAAATTATGCATCCTAGAACCTGGCTAAGCTAGTAATTAGTTCCAAAGCCATCATTCACTAAATATATTGTCATGTACTCAGCTTATTTTGTTTAAGTTCAATAGATATCTATTAACCGTGTGGATATAAAAGCTCATGTATGAACAAAGTTCCAAACTGCCTCTACTTCATTTTACTCAAACAAACTAGTTTTCAATAGGCGCAACTATTTTAGAACATGGATTCAAATATAAGGACAGTAACTAAATCACAATATGATATACAAGCAAGAGGAGGATCCTATATCAAACTCCTATTCTTCCATGATATCCAGAACAAAAAAATACTAACAGCATACCCACGATAATTCAAAAACATGAAATCTTCTTAACTTTACGGGATCGGAAAAATAAGAAGATAAAAGATACCGACCTGTTTTGCGGCAGTGAATCGGGGCTGAGGTCTCGGATCCAACGAAACACCGAACGCAGCCTCGCTACCTCCAATTAACGTCAATTGCCGGAAGACAACTAAGAAAATCTCTGTTATGATTAAAACCCAACAGAGGTCAAAAATAAGGAAGGGAATAAAGCTTTTAAGAGTAAAATAAGAGCAGTAACTATGAGACCTAGTTGTAGTGGTTGAATCTTAAGATTTAAAAGGGGGTAAATGGGGAGGCTAAAGCTTGTCCCTACACTTCTCAAATACTGATATTTATAGGGGAAATTTAGGGTTTTAGGAGTTACTTTTTTGGGCGAAATTTTCCAAATCGAAAATTAAATTACATGGCTAAAAAGCCATTTGACAGCATATAGCAGAGGCGTCAAGTGCGAGAAAATCAAATGAAGCGGAGATTTATTTGTCAAAAATGATGAAAAAAGGGAAAGTAAAAAGAGAACCAATTTTTTAACCTTTGTCAAATTCATTGCAAATGGAATCCAGTTTGAATCTTTGTCAAAACAAAATTAGAATCACGTTGGGGCTGCAAACATTTGCTTGCAATGAGCCTGGAATCTCTGCTTTCATAATATGAGAGGTCAAACCTTTACTCAAAATTGGAGAAGAAGCCAAAAGAAATCTGCCATTGCAGGGGAAGAAAGGGACCATAGAGAGCGTATGTTGGGTTAGGAGAGAGAGAGAAGGGTTAGCAACTTTGATTTAATTGATGGGATAAATATTGACCATTGGATTAAAATAACGGATGGCCCAGATTAGGCTTAGGATAAAACAAGTAAAAATAAAAAAAATACATAGAATTCTCTAGAAGGTGTGGGGTCAGAGTGTGAAGGGGTGAGGAGGGCGTGTGTTGGGCGTGTGTTGGTCATAGGATTCGGATCGTTGGCGCCTATGTGGCGATGACGTGGGGCTCGTGTGGCGTCTACATGGAAGTGAGGATAGAGTAAATGGGTTGGTAGGTATAGGCCTCCGATTTGGGCCATTTTGTGCGCCTAGTTGGTTGATTTAGGGGCTCTAGAAATCTGAAATATATTATAAGAATTGGCCCCATTTTAAATAACATTGAACTTTACCAAGATGATCCAATTTACATTTAAAATTCCTTTTCACTTTAAATTTTACTATGCATCCATAATTATAATAGTTTATAATAAAGTATATTATATTATATTATTGTAAAAATTAATATTTAGTAAGTATGCATTTATATATAGAATAGGAAATAGAGAAATAAATTATAATTGACAAATGATTCTTGTATTAATTATTAAAATGCATTAGCATTAAATAATAATATGATGGTTATTAAGTAACTAAAATAATAATAACGATATAATTACAATAAATAGATATGCTAAATTATATTAAGGCTAATAATTATATTTTATTTTTAAAATCTTGAGGCTAGAAAATATAACAAATATTTTGGATAAAAATATGTAAAATATATTTAGTAAATATTAAGAATCGGGAAGTATAAATAAATTAATTAGGAAAAAGAAGGGCCAAAATTGATCGTCAACGGCTGCCCCTCTTTGACCGTGAACGATGAAAGAGTCTTCGGGCAAAGAAATTGACTTAGTGACCAATTTTGTCCCGACTTATAAATATGGATCGGAGTGTTGGAAGGATTATAAAAGGAAATTTGGAAGGCTTATCAAATGAAAGGAACTTTTAAAGAGTTATGGCCGAACTATGATTTCTGAATCGCCTCCATACCTCGGGTTCTGCGAGAATCAAGTCATATGCAGTTCTAGACTGATGGTGCAATGAAGTAGGACTTAACGATTGATGCGGATCCTAAAATGCTTCCCAGTGTCGAATTATGGAGACACAAGGTGTCAGACACCGGGAATCATGATTGAAAGAAAATGTTTCGAAATAAGGATTTTGGCTAAGATTTTGGTGGTCAAGCCGAACGAAATCCGAAAGTAGACCTTTGACTTTTGCTGGCGAGTCTGGTTTCCTCCCCGGCAAATTGCTCCAGTTCGTTGCTTAGATAGAGTTCCATGTTGTGCTATATTTCCTGCTAAGCTCAACAGGCTAGGTAAAATTATTAGTAAACGAGATATAAAAATGCCATAAGTCATAATAATAATTACATTAAAATGATACCTCTAAGCCGTTAATTTATTACAAAATAAGCCAGGTATTTTAAAATTAATTCTTTGATCATTAATGAAATGAGGCTTTGAACCAATGATTCATGTATATGATGCCTTTCAGCAATGACTTGTGAAAATGAAACATTCAACTGCACGATTGATAAAATAAGGCATTTAAGCCAATGATTAATGAAAACGAGGCATTTAAGCCAAAAATGATGATGCAATTGAGGCGTTTAAGCCAAATGACTGATGAGGCTTTCCAAGCCAAATGATTTAAGGTAATGAAAATATCTACGGTGCATTTAAAAGTAATGGTGCAGTGTATTTGAAAGCATTTGCGTTGTGCATTTGCAAGCAATGATATAGTGCTTTTTGAAAGCATTCGTGTAATGCATTTGCGCTGCCTTTGAAAGCAATAGTGCAGTGCATTTAAAAGCAATTATGTTGTGTATTTTGCAAGCAATGGTGCGATGTATTTGAAAGCATTTGTGCGGTGCAATTGAAAGCGACAGTACAACGCATTTGAAAGCATTTATGTTGTGTATTTTGGACGCAATGGTGCATTCGAAAGCAGTGGTGCAATGCATTTGAAAGCAATGGTGCGGTGCATTTGAAAGCAATGGTGCAGTGCATTTGCGGTGCATTTTAAAAGCAATGGTGCGGTTAATTTTAAAGCCAATATGCAATATATTTAAAATCATGTATGATTGCATTAAAAAGTTAGTGGCTGAAAAGTAATGACAATCAGTGTATTAAAGGAATATCTTATAATCCCAAAATTGGATTTTAAAGATCATCATTATTCAAGAGGTGTATTTTTTTTTTTATAAAATACTATAAAAAATTCAAACCGCTCGACGAATGGTCTTGGGAATTATACTCGTTATTGATTTTCTGCTTCCGCTATCTTGAAAATCTGCACTCAAAGAAAAATTATGAGTTTTGGAGGAAGGTTGATTCGTGTTGACTTTGATGCTCTGGCCATTGAAAATTTTGCGCTTCCAATTTGTTTGGACTTGCAACCTCCGTCCAATACTGAATCTTGGGGAACGAATAGTTAAGAAATTTTTGATGAAAAATTGATTTTTAATAAATAAATATGCATAGATATATAATTTAAAAAAAATGAAGTTGTTTCCGAACTCTACATTGTGACATGCTTGTGAAACAAAGTGAACGCTCTCATCTGAAACTCTGTCATTCGTCTTGCTTGACCATCCTTTGTCGATGACTAATGCCTCCTCATGACGACGCCTTCAAAAATGCCCCAGTATCCAACTTGGGGGGAAATAATGAATATTATTATAATGAGACCGAACCCACAGGACTGCCTACGTATCCCCTCTTAAAAGGGAATCAGGTCAAACGTAGTTCATGTACATTAAGAAGCATTACATAGAAAAGAAAGAGGTTGCTAGATATGCCTCTAGATGTGGTATCTCTTGACTGCATCTGTGTTGATGGGCTTGGGCCACACTTCACCATCCATTTCTGCTAGAATCAGTGCTCCTCCAGTCAATACTCGATGCACCATGTACGGACCTTGCCAATTTGGTGCAAACTTTCCTTTACCTTCATTTTGGTGCGGGAATATGCGCTTCAAAACCAATTGCCCTGGTTTGAACTGCCGTGATTTCACTTTCTTGTTGAAGGCTCTAGCCATCCTGTTTTGATAGAGTTGACCATGGGAAACTACATTCATTATCTTCTCGTCAATAAGCATTAGTTGTTCGTACCGATTCTTCACCCATTCTGCATTGCTCAGCTTGGCTTCCTGGATGACCCTCAAAGATGGTATTTCAACTTCCACGGGTAATACAGCTTCAGTTCCATAGACCAGAAGATAAGGCGTTGCCCCAGTTGATGTTCTGACTGTAGTGCGATATCTAAGGAGAGCAAATGGTAGCTTCTCGTGCCAATGCCTGTAGTTATCAATCATCTTCCTATGATGACCCAAAGGGTCATCTTTTGTTTTAGAATCCGTTTCCGTTTGAAAACCTCATTTTCTTTCTCCTCGAGTGCGCAGTCCGGGCACGTATCCGGAAAGCTTTTATGTGAAAAATTTAAGAAAAGACGATTTTTGGCTTAAAAGATAATTTTTGTTGACTTTGGTCAACGTTTTGGGTAAACGGACCCGGACCCGTGTTCCGACGGTCCCGGAGGGTCCATAATAAAATATGGGAATTGAGCGTATGCCCGGAATTGAATTCCGAGGTCCCTAGCCCAAGAAATAAATTTTTAAAGAAAATTGTTAACTGAAAAATGTAATGGTTTTTGGAAATTGAATAATGTTTGATATTGTTGGTATCGGGCCCGTATTTTGGTTCTAAAGCCCGGTACAGGTTTAATATGGTATTTAAGTCATGTTTGTGAAATTTGGTGTGACGACCCAAAGGGTCATCACCGGATTTCTCTTTTTCCGTGCTTCCGAGGCCGTGAAAACCTCACCTTTAGTTGCCTCGATTTGCGCGTGCAGTCCGGGCGCGTAGCCGGAAAGACTATATGTTAAATTCTGTGAAAAATTTCAAAATGTGGCTTTAAAATGATTAAAGTTGACTTCGGTCAATATTTTTGGTAAACGGACCCGGACCAGTGAATTGACGGTCCCGGAGGGTCCGTAGAAAAATATGGGACTCGGGCATGTGCCCGGAGTCGAAATCCGAGGTCTAGAACCCGAGGAAAAGAATTTTTCTGTGAAATTGTTTTTCTGGAATTATTAAGGAAAATGGAAATAAAAATTGATTAAAAGACTATGGTATCGGGCTCGTATTTTGGTTCTGACGCCCGGAACAGGTCTTAAATATGTGTTAAGCGCTTTCTGTAAAGTTTGGTCGAAATCGGACGTCATTTGACGTGTTTCGGACCTAAATATCTAAAGTTTGAAGTTTATGAAGTTAGAATGAAAAATGAGGAATTTGAGGTTTGATTCATTGATTTAATGTTATTTTGGCGATTTGATCGCACGGTTGAGTTCATAGGATGTTGTTGAGTTAGTGTATGTGTTTGGTAAGGAGCCCCGAGGGCTCGGGAGTGATTCGGAGGTGGTTCGGGGTGTTTTGAACTTAGTGAAAATTGCAGAAAACTCAGTTCTGGTGTTCTGGTATTTAGTTCTATGCGATCGCATAGGTTGCTTCGCGATCGCATAGTGTAGCCTTCCATGTGCCCACATTTGTTCTATGCGATCGTACAAACTCTTCCGCGATCGCATAGGTTTGCTAGCTCCTTCAATGCGAACGCAATTGATACTCCGCGTTCGCACTTCGTTAAAGTCCAAACCTGGACTGCCTATGCTTTTCCTCTATGCGTTCGCAGAATGACTTATGCGATCGAGATGATTTATTTCCCTTTACCCTATGCGATCGCAATGCCTTCTCCGCGATCGCATAGGGCATTTTTGCCTGGTTAATTTTAAAAGCTCAAAACAGACCCATTACGGGATTATTCCTATTTCTTCATAAAACTTGTCTTCTCCAAGCTCTAGGGGCGATTTTTGAAGCTCTTCTTCACCAAAGTCTTTGGGTAAGTAATTTCCCACCTAATTCCTTCACTCTTATTCATTAATTACTGAAATCCTAGACCTAAATCATGAAATCAAAGTAGAAATTAAGGGTTTTGGGTAGAGTTAGGTTTTTGAGAATTTTGGGTGATTCAACCTCAATTTGGGGTCGAATCTTAAAACAAATTATATATTTGAACTCGTGGGGTTATGGGTGATTGGGTTTTGGTCCGAGCCTCGTGTTTGGACCATGTGGGCCCGGGGTTGAATTTTGGTATTTTTGGAAGAATGCTAGGAAATTCATATCTAGGCTATGGGATGTTGCCATTGAGTCTTTATTGATATTATTGAATTAATTATGCCTAGATATCATTGTTTCGGAGTCGGATTGTAGAGGAAAGGCGGTATTTGAGGATTGATTGCTATTCTTTGGACCGAGGTAAGTGTTTGATCTAACTTTGGCTTGAAGGAATAGGATTAGAGTGTTATTATTTGCTAATTGCTAAATGATCGAGTACGGTGTATAGGCATGGTGACGAGTATCTNGGGTAAAGCTATACTAGAGGCTTGAGTTGATTTTGGAGCATTTGAGGTAAGTGTTTGATCTAACTTTGGCTTGAGGGAATAGGATTGGAGTGTTGCTAATTGCTAAATGTTGAGTACGGTGTATAGGCATGGTGACGAGTATCTATACACCGGTGTCTAGCATGACCGTGGGTCTTTGTATGTACTTATCCTGATATTGTTATGACTCTTCCATGTTAATGATGAATTCTATGCAATGTGAAGAGTATGAGGACTAATTATGAATTGTAAATTCTTTGGAGCGTTGGCTCGAACGATAAAAAGACTATTGAGTAAGAAATGAAAGAAATAGAAAGAGATATGATTAATCCCTTGCCGGGATGGTTTGAGTATATTGATTATCACCCTTGCCGGGATGTGAAAGTATTGTTGTTGCTCCCTTGTCGGGATTTAGCTGTTAATTGTGTAATTCCCTTGCCGGGACATTTCTTATTATTTGTTTATCCCCTCGCCCCGTTTGGTTGTGATTACTGTTTGGGTAAGGAAGAGTGATAATGCACGAAGTGTCATTCCGTGTCATGTTTTGATTATATTTGCACGAAGGGTCATTCCGTGCCATGTTTTGATTATATTTGCACGAAGGGTCATTCCGTGCCATGTTTTGATTATATTTGCACGAAGGGTCATTCCGTGCCATGATTTGAGAGTATGAGAGGGAAAGCACGAAGGTTGATGCTGTGCACTTTACTTGATTACTTTTGGCGAGGATGAGGGTAAAAGCACGAAGGTTGATGCCGTGTAATTGTTGACTTTCCTGCTCTAATTGATTATTGTTATTGCCCTGTTGCTTACTTAAATTGTTGACTTTATATCCGGACTATATTTCCCCCATAGTATGCTCCCCTCCCTCTTAACTGTTTAACTTCTTTGTTCTTTCCTTTTATTGCATATATATATATATATTGAACTGCACAGGTTGGTTTGATAGTCCTGTCTAGCCTCGTCACTACTTCACCGGGGTTAGGCCAGGCACTTACCAGCACATGGGGTCGGTTGTGCTGATGCTACACTTCTGTGCTCTTTTGCACAGATCACGGTACCGGAGCAGCTTTTGGACCACAGCAGTAGGATATTGATCGCGAGCTGACTTCAGTCCAGGGACTTACGAGGTAGCCTAGCTGGCGTTCGCAGGCCGGAGTCCCTTTCTATGTTTTCAGTTTGTTTTCATTGTACCGAGACAGTATTTCTATTCAGACTTGTTTGTAGCACTCTTTAGTAGTTCGTGAGATAGCGACACCAGTCATGGGTAGAGAAATGTTAAACTTCCGCTTTAATTTAAATGACTCGTTATATTTATATTGTTCTTGTTGAGGTGAAATCAGGGAATGTTTTAAAAGGTTTGGCTTTCCTAGCTCCGATAGTAGGCGCCATCACGACTCCCGATGGTGGAAAATCCAGGTCGTGACATTTGGTGAGAAACGGGACTGATTTGACGTGATTCGGGCGTTCGGTTGTGAAAATAAAAAATTCAAATCTTCTTAAGGATTTCATGAGTTTTGGTGTTAAACTCGTTGTTTAAGATATTATTTTGGCGACTTTATCGCACGAGCAAGTCTGTATGATGTTTTTAGACTTGTGTGCATGTTTGGTTTGGAGCCCCGAGGGCTCGGGTGAGTTTTGGATAGGCTTCGGAGTGTTTTGGACTTGGAAAAATATTGCAGGTATTCCAGTTCTGGTGTTGGCCTCTGATCTCGCAATTGCGAGACCAGAGTTCGCATTTGCGAAGCCTGACAATGTTGCAATTGCGAGCCACTCATCACAAATGCGAAAAGTAGCTGGGCCAACAGTCTTCGCAATTGCGAAGAAACCTTCACATTGCGAAGTAAAGCTGGGAGGGGTACTGGTTGCAAATGCGATCATTTAGTCGTATTTGCGGAGAATCATGTTCGCATTTGCGAACCGTCCTTCACATTTGCGAAGGCAGCAGAAATGTGAGGGGTTCGCATTTGCGATACCTTCCTCGCATTTGCGATGCGAAGCTTAGGTCACAAATGCGACATCTGCAGCTGAGTAAAAGGGTCTTAGACGGGATTTTCAAATCATTTCTCAAATTTTCAAACCCTAAGCTTCAAGAGGAGATTTTCTAGAGAGTAGTTCTTCCCCAAATCATAGGTAAATAATTCCTAACTCATTTCTTTAAATTTATTTCATCTTTTTGCAAGATTTCATCACAAAATCTAGGAATTTCCATGGGGAATTGAGTGTTTTTGGGTAGAATTTAGGAATTTCGAAATTTTGGAGATTTAGACCTCAAATTGAGGTTGGATTCCAAAACCAATTGCATATCCGGTCTCGGGGATGAATGGGTAATCGGATTTCGGTCTGAACTTCGAGTTTTGACCAAGCGGGTCGGGGGTCGGTTTTTTGACTTTTTGGGGAAAATGTTGGGAAATCTATAATTATGCATTGGAATTGGTTTCTTTAGCGTTTATTGATGTTATTAAGTTAAATATGACTAGATACGAGTGGATTGGTAGTGGAATCAAGAGGTAAAGTGGTATTTGAGCTGTGAATTACCCGTTGGCTTGAGGTAAGTGTTTGGTCTAACTTTGACTTGAGGGATTAGGGATCCCCGACTTGCTTGCTATGTGAGATACCATGTGTGCGGCGTATAGGTGTGGTGACGAGCACCTATGCGTTGCCGAATTACCTTTTTAGCATGTTCCCTTTCCCCGTTTCCCTATATATTGCTCTCATGTCTTAATTGCTACTTGCTTATTAATGCTTCCATGCCTAATTGCTTCTTGTTAAATGTTATTTCTCTATTGGTGTTGTTAATTGTTCCATAGTTCCATTATATCTCACTGTTGGTTTATTGGTGCTTCATGGTACACTTTGGTTGGTCTCGCTGTGTAGTTTAAATTGGTGAAGTTTCATAATTGTAGTGGTATTCCCTTGTGTTGGTTTGAGGTGTAAGTGTTGTGGAGGATTTGAGTTAACTTGTGAAACACTTGTCTTTATTTTGTGATTGGTGTTGATATGTATATTGGGATCGGGTTGCACGCCGCAACAGGAGGAATAAGGGTGAATGTGATTGTCTGGTGGGATCGGGTTACACGCCGCAACAAGGAGTAATAAGGGTGGACATGTGGGATCGGGTTGCACGCTGCAATAGGAGGAATAAGGTGATATATTGAGGAGTAATAAGGGTGGACTGGTGGGATCGGGTTGCACACCGGAACAAGGAGTAATAGGGGTGAATATGTGTACTGTTATTGATTATATGGTTGGATCGGGATGCGCGCTACATCATTTGTTGTTTATGTATTCATATTCTGTTGAGGTTCATAATTGTAGTGTTGAAACTCCCTTAAGGATTGGTTATAGCTGAGTATTGGTAGAACAACCGGATTTCGTATTCATTTAATGCAAGTTACTGTCTTATTTCATTTTGTACTTCCTTTCTGTTTTAGTATAAACTATTGCAGGTTATATATATTGTTATGCCCCGCCGTAGCCTCGTCACTACTTCGTCGAGGTTAGGCTCGGCACTTACTAGTACATGGGGTTGGTTGTACCGATACTGCACTCTGCACTTTCTGTGCAGATTTCGGAGCTAGTGGGTGATCGAGAGGTTGGTTGCTATTACTGCATTTAGGAGCCCCAAGGTAGTCCTGCAGGCGTCCGCAGGCCCTGGCGTAACCTCCTATCTTTACTTCATTTCTGTTTTACTTTTCTCCGAGATAGATGTATATTTTTCTTTCAAACAAATACTTGTAGTATTCGTAGACTGTTCGTGAGTTGTAACACCAGTTTCTGGGTGGTATTTACTTCCATTTTTGTTATTAGTATAAAAGTAATTAGTTAAATCATGTACTTTCGCTTTTATTTCCGCTGATTTAGTTCTTATTAAATTTTAATTATAAAATGGTGTAATATTCTGTAACGTTGGCTTTCCTAGCGAGTGCAATGTTAGGCGCCATCACGGTCCCGAAGGTGGAAAATTCGGGTCGTGACACTTCCGCAATATCTTCTTTATGTTCTTGTTGGTTGCTTCAACGACTCTATTCATCTGAGGTCGGTAGGGAGTGGAATTTTGGTGAGTAATATTGAACTTGTCACATATTTCTTGCATCAAGTCGCTATTGAGATTGGCTCCATTATCTGTAATGATTGACTCAAGAATTCCAAATCGGCGAACGATGTTGTTGCGGACAAAATCTGCTACCACCTTTTTTGTAACTGACTTGTAAGAAGAGGCTTCTACCCACTTTGTAAAATAATCAATAGCTACCAAGATAAATCTATGCCCATTCGATGTGGCGGGCTCAATAGGGGCAATGACATCCATGCCCCAAGGAGAACTCGTCACATTGAGTTCATTCGATGGAACTTGAATCAGATCACCGTGAATCTGGCACTGATGATATTTTTTGTACAAAATGAATGCAATCTGTTTCCATGGTCATCCAAAAGTAACCTGCTCGCAGAATTTTCTTTGCCAAAGTAAAACCATTCATGTTAGGCCCACATGTTCCCGCATGTATCTCTTCAATCAGCTTGGTTGCTTCTCTGGCATCTACACACCTCAACAGCCCTAAATTTGGGGTCCTCCTATATAGGATTTTGCTGTTTAGGAAAAAGTGATTTGCCAATCTCCTAAGCGTTCGCTTCTGGGTACTGGTTGCTCCTTCAGGGTAATCCCTTGTCTTGAGATACCTATTAATGTCACAGTAACATGATTCTCCGCCTGGCTCTTCATCCACATCGAAACAATAAGCTGGTTGATCTTGCACATTCACCTTGATAGGGTCTATGTAGTTCTTGTTTGGATGTTGAATCATGGAAGACAAAGTTGCTAAAGCATCTGCGAACTCATTTTGAACTCTTGGAACATGCTTGAAGTCCACTTTGATAAACTTCTTACACAACTCCTTCACAGAATGTAAATATGGTAGGAGTTTTGTGTTCTTTGTATTTCATTCGCCTTGTAATTGATGAATCAGCAAGTCTGAATCACCTATGACCAATAACTCTTGGATGTTCATGTCAACGGCCATTCTGAGCCCAAGTATACGAGCCTCATATTCTACCATGTTGTTAGTGCACAGAAACCGAAGTTTCGCTGAGATTGGATAATGTTGTCCAGATTCTGAAACTAGTACTGCTCCAACTCCGACTCCTTTGAAGTTTGTGGCTCCGTCAAAGAACATTCTCCAACCAGAATATGCTTCTGAAATGTCTTCTCCGGCGAATAATACTTCTTCATCTGGGAAGTACGTCCTAAGTGGCTTGTATTCTTCATCCACAGGATTTTCTGCAAGGTGGTCAGCTAAAGCTTGTCCTTTGACGGCCTTCTGAGTAACATACACGATGTCAAACTCACTTAGCAAAATCTGCCACTTCGCTAGCTTCCCTATAGGCATAGGTTTCTGAAAGATGTACTTGAGCGGGCATCCTGGAAATGAGGTAAGTGGTGTATGCTGACAAGTAATGCCTCAACTTTTGTGCAACCCAAGTTAAGGCACAGCAGGTGCGTTCCAACAAAGTATACCGTGCTTCATACGGTGTGAACTTCTTGCTCAAGTAGTATATGGCTTGCTCCTTCCTCCCAGTTTCATCATGTTGCCCCAAAACACATCCAAATGCATTATCTGATACAGATATGTATAACAACAGCGGCCTTCCAAGTTCCGGAGGTACCAACACCGGTGGGTTAGATAAATATTCCTTGATCCTATCAAAAGCTCGTTGACATTCCTCTGTCCATTTGGTAGTGGCATCTTTCCTCGGCATCTTGAATACCGGCTCACAAATCACTGTTGATTGGGCTATGAAGAGACTGATGTAGTTGAAGCGACCAAGGAAGCTCATCACGTCCTTCCGATTCTTTGGAGGTGGCAGGTGTGAGCACGTGATTTTTGCCCTAAGCAATAATTCCCAAAATTTCAAACAAAATAATTTTTCTAGTATTTTATAAATTCTTGTGAATTTTGTGGCGTTCTTTGGTAATTGTTGCATTTTTATTTGTGCATTTTAATTCATATGAAAAATATAAAAATACATTCCGCATTTGTTTTAGGTTCTAATTTCACATTTTAGAATTAATTAGTAAAGAAGAAAATAACAAAAATTGTTCTTTTGCATTTATACTCTTAATTTGTCTTATTTTACTTTTGAATTAGGAATTAGTGTAATCTTGGAGTTAATTTGGGGTTTTTACTTTTAATTTTGCATTTAACAAATTTCAAAAAATATATAAATGAACAAAAATCAAAAGAAATAAAATGAAATTGACTTGAGCTTAAATAAAAGAAAAATCAGGCCACCAAGATTGGGCCACTGTCAAATTAATCCCAGCCCAATGCCCCAAGTTTTTGCCAGACCAGCCCAAATCATCAATCCGGTCCAGTTCCCCCCCCCCCCCATGGCAAAACGACGTCCGTTTGGCGTCACTCAATCCTCGCCCGTCCACTTCCCCATGATCCTATCGGCCCTCATCGAACCCAAACCATCCCATAAAACTGTCCGAAAATTAACCCAAAATCTAAAACATTGTTTCATCTTCCTCGTACCTCCCCTGTAACGCCGGCGTTACCACCACCCTCCTCCGCCCTAGCCCCACCGTCTGCCACCGTCCCCCCACCGTCCGCCGTCGGCCGGAAATCATCGCAGCCAGCGGCGATGCTCCGATGACCACCAAAATTACACCCCAAATTCCCCTTCCCTTCCTTTACCTGAATCCACTGTCCGTTGCCCCCAAATCTTACCAGAACTCGTCAAATATCCGTTCGAAGTTTTCCGGCCAAGTCGCCGGTTATGCCAAACGGTCCCAAATTAACACCATGGGACCGCCTTGACCTCCTCTACCCAACCCCCATAACCACTTGTCTCGAACATGGCCGGAATTGCTCAAATATCCGATCGAAAATCCGGTCAAAACCCTAAATTCTCCAAACCCCACCAAATTAATACCACGTGACCTCTTCACTTCCCTCATGAGGAATTTGTCATCATTAGCGTTCAAATCTCACCAGAAGTAGTCGAATTTTGAATCTAAAGAGCTATGCGACTTTGGGAGTTGTACAGATGAGTCCTCTTCCTTTTGTGTTTGATTTTTTTTGCGTTGATTAAGATTAGATTAGTTTACAATTAGTGTGTTAGGCTCTAGATTAGGTCTATAGTCACTGTTTCTAAAATCGGATAACTATTAATTGTATAGCTTGTTTCTCTTCACCTGTTAAACGTTTGTTTCGTTTTGATCCTCCATCTGGTTTAATTATTTTCCATTTATTTTGATTAGGGAATGCATGTTTATGACTTGGTTTAATTTTGTTAGAGACTTGACAGGTTCAGTCGAATTAGTGTAGTTTGACATAGGGACTAGCATTTCTGCCTCCGTTTAGTGAAGTTAACAGTCGTGGCTGATTTGATAATCCAATAACTTGGTTATTAGCCTATTTTCTTTTGATCAGTTTCAATAAATCTTGTGTGTATTGTTTGTTTCAGCTTTAATGTTTTAGCATTTCTTTTGGTTAATCAGTGATTGTTGTTAACAATACTTCAGTGTAATGCCAAGTTCAATTAGTTGTTAATTAGATGAATTTGGCCACAGCAAATGGATTCAATTAGGGTAGAAAGAGGACTAAAATCTTTGGGTTTGGGTAGTAATTTCAGGATATTTCAAGGGTAGTTTAGACATGGGAAAAGGGTACTTTCATCAGATTTGGTAATTTTTAAAGGGGGGTAAGGATAGAATAGGGATTGTAACAAGTACAGAACCTTCTAGAATAGACTTTAGTATAGTTTTCAATAAAATAGGTGTTGTTACTTGGGTAACAAGTTTAAAAATAAGGGACTAAAAGCTGAAAATGAGAAGGACTAAAAAGAAAACTAAAAATCTAAAGGAAGCCTTAGGTTTTGCCTATAAAAGGCACACCCATTGCCTTGTTTAACAAGTTTTAGACCCTCTGAAAATTCCAAGAGTTTTTGAGCCTCAAAAAATTCCCCTAAAAAATACTCTCAAAGCTTCACAGATCTGTAATTTGAATTTTAAATCCAAGTTCCTTTAGGTCTGAATCTTCTCCAAAAAATTCAAAAAAGCAACAAAAACTAAAAAAAAAAACAATACTGTTACATTAGAGCTTCTCGTTTTTGGTTTCAAGTTCTTGTTATTTGATTGAAGAATTGTTTGTGTTTTGCTGGCCGAAAGTTCCGAGGTGTTATTGGGTTCATTTTCGAGTTTGCTTGGGTTTGATTGGGGTTTGGTTTTTGGTTATCCACTGGTAGCATTTTGATCGAGTCAGTCCTGGATTTTGGTTGTGATTTAGCTGTCTTCTGTTGAAGTTTTGCACTATCATCTACTGCTGCTGATCATCTTCCTCTCTTCTATCTCATTGCAATCTCAGGTACACGCTTGAATTCACACTGATGTAGCCTCAAATTGGAATAAAATGAAATCGTATTCCAGATCTGTGCTCACTTGGATGCCTATAATTGTAGTCGGTTAAATGATGTGTAGTTATTGGCTTTAGTTTGCTTGTTTGTATTATACCATGGACTGTTTAATTAGGATTAGTTCTAAGTGATTTGAACTATTTAATTTGTATCGGACTGTTGACATTCGTTAAGCTAGTGTAATTTCATTTAACGATTAGTTGAACGTTGATGACAACAAAAACATAAAAACTGATGTTAATTCTCCATATGTAGTTAACAACTGCAGAAGCATGAACTGATCTGCATTTGCTAGTTTACGGGTACGAAATCTGATTTGGGTTGTTCACAAGTGTAAAAATCAGGTTTTGAACTTTTAACACGAGTTGATCCACGTAATCATTGTAAATGTTGAAATGGCAAACTGACTCGCTTCAGTAGGAGCAATCATTTAGAGCTATAACATAGAAGTCAAGGAAAATACTTAAGTAATTTGAGTACTAAATTGCTTTGTCAGTTGGAATTATGATTATAGGCTGTTTATATTGAACATTGAATCTGTTATCAATTGTTTCCTGATTCATGTTTATTGTTGCACATACTGGTCCACGTCTGGACAGCTTCACCCATCAGAACTGGGCCAAACCTCTAAGGCCCAAACAATTGTTATAAGTCAAAACCTTTTAAAAATTATATTAGGAATATGGGGATTAATTTGCGATATAAATTCAAGTGTTCGAGTTAGGTAGCGGGTTCAAATTAAGAGGGTCCTCCCTTTTGTTTGAATTCGGACTTGAACTCGAGGCCTGAATTTATAAATGCAAATTAATTAGGCCCTTGTAGAAACAAATTAAATAGAAAATCATAGGTCACTTTAGGATTGGCCTTTAAATAAAAGTGGGACGAGCCTCGCCGAATAAAAATGCATAAATTGCGGGGGCCCCATTAAAAGCTTTATTAAAAATATTTTAGAAATTTGGGACATGCCATTTAGCGAATTTTCATGGCTTCCCGCAAAGTTAATAAGACACTAGCCACTTTAGGCGCGCTTTTAATAATTTACTTTCTTAAATACGGGTGTGCATTTCATGCGGCCCAAATCCAAATCCCAAAACGTTGAATAAGAGGTGTCGAGGATCCGGGCGCATTTCATGTGACGTGATCCAAAAACACGCTCTTAGACGGCGTTCACTTTCATAAAAAACTAATTAAAAGCGGTTGAATAATTCTTAAAATTGCACTATAGGTTGGAACTTGTAGTAAAAATCAGATTTTAGCCATTTATGATGATTTAAGCGACCGTGCTAGAACCACGGGATCCGGGGGTGCCTAACACCTTCCCTCGGGTCAACAGAATTCCTTACACAGAATTTCTGGTTCGCAGACTCCAATTGGGAAGTCGAAATTTTTCCTCGATTTGGGATTTAAATTAAACCGGTGACTCGGGACACCAAAAGCCCATCCTTTCCCGAGTGGCGACTCTAAAAATAAATAAATAATCCCATTTCGAATAATATCACTTTAAATGGGAAAACTCCTTTATACATTTATCCTTCGGGGTAGGTGTGTAAAAAAGGAGGTGTGACAGCAGGTCTTGGATAGCCTTTATCTTTGAAGGATCCAGCTCTATGCCCCGTCTACTGACAATGAAACCTAATAATTTTCCAGCTGGAACTCCAAATGCACACTTTGCGGGATTCAGCTTCAAATTGTATCGCCGCAACCTATCAAAGAACTTCTTTAGGTTTACCAAGTGATCAGAACTCTTCCGTGACTTGATGATGACATCGTCCACATAGACCTCAATCTCTTTATGGATCATGTCATGCAAAATAGTTGTCATAGCTCTCATGTATGTAGCACCTGCATTCTTGAGTCCAAAAGGCATCACCCGATAACAATACACTCCCCAAGGTGTGATAAATGCTATTTTCTCAGCATCATCTTCATTCATCAAAATCTGGTGGTAGCCGGAAAAACAATCAACAAATGACTGCAGCTCATGCTTTGCACAATTATCAATGAGTATGTGAATATTTGGGAGAGGGAAATCATCTTTTGGACTAGCCTTGTTGAGATCCCGATAATCCACACATATTCTGATCTTCCCGTCCTTCTTTGGTACTGGTACTATGTTGGCCAACCAGGTGGGGTACTTCGTGGCTCGGATGACATTTGCCTTAAATTGCTTGGAGACTTCTTCTTTGATCTTCAAACTTAAGTCTGTTTTGAATTTCCTTGTTTTTTTTGCTTTACCGGGGGACAAGATGGATCCGTTGGAAACTTATGAGAAACAATATTAGTGCTTAAACCAGGCATGTCATCATACAACCAAGCGAACACATTGACGTATTGCCTCAAAAGATCCACATATTTCTTCTTTTCTGATGGTGTAAAATGGACACTAATTCTTGTTTCTTTTATAGATTCCGAATCCCCCAAATTTATAGGCTCTGTTTCATCCAAATTTGGTTTTGACTTGTTCTCAAACTGCTAAAGTTCTTTAGTTAATTCTGCAGGCGGCATATCTTCTTCATATTCTTCAAGATCTTGCTTGTTATTTTGTTCACTTGTTTCATTGCATGTCACATTCACGGTGTCGGCATTTTTATTAAATTGTTTGCTGAAAAATAAAAAATAAAGAAAGAAAATTAATAAAGACAAAAAATTAAATGTAAAACGAAAAAGTTGATTCAGATTTTGCATTTAAGCTTCCAAAATATCGAGGCAAACAACATAAAAATCATAAACACGATTCAGGCCTCAATTTTGAATCATATTGTTAAGAAAGTACTAATTCAATCCATCTACCAAGACTCCCGGCGAACCGGGGATGGGGTACAAGCCCAATTGTTCAAAGCATCTCCAGGTGCGGCATCCCAAATAGTTGGCGTCTCAGTGCAATCTTTCTGAATCACATTGCAATCAGCAATGAATAAGTTCTTAACTCCTTCAACGAGGTCGTCTTCAACATCTTCATCTAGCTCATGAATAGTAACTGTCTTGGGGAATGACTGGCTTAGCAGCGGGATAGGCTGTGGCAGGACAATTTCACCTTTCTTCGACCAAAAGTGTTGCTCTGCCCTGGTAATGGAATTGACTCCACTATTCCATGCAACCTTGCTCCAAGTCCTCGACTAGGCTCAAAACCATTCTTCAACATTTCTAATGCCACCATCACTGTCACGACCCAACTTTCCCTCCGTTTGGGTATCGTGATGGCACCTAGTCTTAAGAACTAGGTAAGCCTAACAATTGCGGAATAACAACAATACATAATAACATCTAAAATTCTTCTAAAATAAATCCTTTATACAATGAACATCTTCCCAAAACCCGGTAGTACAAGTCATAAGCTCTATAGAGTTTTCGCTACAACTTCTAAACACAACCGTATGGAAATAGGTATAACAGTGTGAAAATAAAATAGGAAGGTGACTCCAAAGCCTGCGAACGCAGCAGCAGGTTTACCTTGAGTCTCCTCGGCAAGAATCCGCTCAGCTACTAACGATCAATACCTGGATCTGCACAAAAAAAAATATGCAGAAGTGTAGTATGAGCACACCACATCGGTGCCCAGTAAGTATCGAGACTAACCTCGGTGGAGTAGTGACAAGGAACAGTCAAGACACCCACTGGACTAATAAGCAGAACAAGTATAAGTATTGAAAAAAAACGAACATGATATCTATATAAAGACTAAGCGATATTGCTAACAACATAGAAACTACAATAAGGAAAGGAAACAGCAAGTAATAGTGGAAAACCATAATAAAGCTCATAAAAGTGAACAAAAAATACAACCCAAATTCGAAATCACAATACAGTAAGGACAAGTCATAACTCAGCAACTACGGCAGCCTTCACCTTGAGTCTTAACCAGCAAGCATCAATCAAATAATCAAACTCTTTTCAAGTGATAAAAATGGTTTGAAGTATACTTCCTTCAAATAAGTGTTCTTTTCAAAAGAGTTTCTTTCAAAATAATGCTTTCAAATATAATCTTTTCAAAAAGATAATCCTTCGAATATAAGTCACCCTGTGACATCTCATCTCATAATCATACAATACGGGTCTTAATACCTGAACCCTAACACTTGGCATCATGTGCCCTCATGACACCTCATAATCATACTGACAACTCACGTGCCCAAAGAGCCATTCTCACATGGAAGGAAAATAACAAGGGGTGCGTCTATACTCAGAAATCTCAAAGAGCCTCCTACCCGATAAGGGTGATTACCCATGTGTATGCTTGTGCAAGTGTCCTAACATAGTTCGCACCAACTAGTAAGTATAAGGATTGGATCGGACAGCACCTATAATGTTTACACAGGTATAGGATCAATGAAAACATCAGCTCAGAACACAATGATTTTAATAGGGGATCTCCCAGGATATCGTCCCGTAGTCCAAAACGTAAATATGTGTGCTAGGTATCTCTTGGTATCCCGAGGATCTCTTGGTATCCTCAATATATGTACTAGGGATCTCTTGGTATCTGGAGGATCTCTTGGTATCATGAATATAAGTGCCGGGGATCTCTTGGTATCGCGAGGGTCTCTTGGTATCCTCAATATATGTGCTAGGGATCTCTTGGTATCCCGAGGATCTCTTGGTATCCTCATTATATGTGCTGGGGATCTCTTGGTATCCCGCACTACAGCCAAAATCAATACATGTGCAGGGAATCTCCCGGGTGCAGTTTCGTAGTCCCAAAAGTAAACGTGCAGGGGGATCTCCCGGAATACTGATCCGTAGTCCCAAAGTAAACATGCAGGGGGGATCTCCCGGGATATCGTCCCGTAGTCCCAAAGTAAATACGCAGTGCAACCAATAGAAATAACAGTCACAGCACAACAAAAAGCTCGTATATCACCACAATACATATACCAACAACAAAAATGACAATAATACAAGGCAAGACAAGTAATCAACTTAAGGACTGTAAATCACAAGGAAACGGTAGAACCAGCTCACAAAGAATAACCACAGAAAAGAATGCTGGCATAAGGGAACAGTTCAACACTGGAAAACTAACGTATAGCGACGATCCCACAATATACAAGTTAATAACAAGGAAATAAACGCGAGTCAAGTAGTCCCAAATAAGGGCAAGTCAACAAAGATATAGGTTATCTAACTCCTTTTAAGGTTGGACAATTCCGAGGATATTCGACAATTCAATTAGGGAAAGATGATCTTTAGCTTCACTTAAGACTAAACAAAGTTTCAGGAAGGATGCTAATGATTCTCAAATAAGACAAACAGCTACAAAAAGATAGCATGACAATAGGAGAGGCGAAATTCTTCAATTAAATCAAATAGGAGTCAGTTAAGCAATAAGAGTGAATCATGAAGCAATTATTTCCAATCAAGCATGTAGATGTGAAACTAGTAAATAAGAAACTCAGTCATGTCAAGAACACATTCATACACAGTGAATATAAGGATCTAATAACTCTACCAATTTTTCACAGATAAGTCTGAGCACGCACTCGTTACCTCGCGTACACGAACTACGGTCAACATAGAAGACTCAAATCCTAGGGGGGAAGTCCTCCACACAAGGTTAGGCAAGCTACTTACTCGGCACCGCTGTGGTGTGCTTATACTACACTTCTGCACATTTTTTTTGTGCAGATCCAGGTATTGATCGTTAGTAGCTAAGCGAATTCTTGCCGAGGAGACTCAAGGTAAACCTGCTGCTGCGTTCGCAGGCTTCAGAGTCACCTTCCTATTTTATTTTCACACTGTTATACCTATTTCCATACGGTTGTATTTAGAAGTTGTAGCGAAAACTCTATAGAGCTTATGACTTGTATACCGGGTTTTGGGAAGATGTTCATTGTTTAAAGGATTTATTTTAGAAGAATTTTAGATGTTATTATGTATTGTTGTTATTCCGCTATTGTTAGGCTTACCTAGTTCTTAAGACTAGGTGCCATCACGATCCCCAAACGGAGGGAAAGTTGGGTCGTGACATGTTGGTATCAAAGCTCTAGGTTCATAGGTGCTACGAGTCATAAGTGAATTTAGTAGAGTCTTGCGGATCGGTACGGAGATGTCTGTACTTATCTTCGAGAGGCTACGGAACTATTAGGACAATCTCACTTCCTTCATTCTTATCGTGCGAGCTTATTGATCTTGGAGTTGAACTTTTATCCTTCCATTCTCTCACCGACGGTGAGGACACGAGCTGCGGTTATCGATGATGATGCTTCCGGAACAGGTATCGCTAGAGACAGAGGCAGAGGCCGACGAGGAGTATGTGTCGCAGCTAGACCACACTCAGAGTAGCGAGTTTCTGTTAGTCAAGTTCCAGGTGTCATGACGGCATAATTGGTGGTTCCAGTTCAGCCCATGGTCAGGGCACCAGCATCCGAGGGAGAGCAACTTAGATTTGCAAGGTTCAAGAAAATGTAACCCTCCAACATTCAGCGGGTTGGCTTAAGAGAGCACAATGGGTTTCATATAGGAGTGCCATCGTATTATCAGCACTATGGGTATTGTAGAGACGAGTGGGGTTGCTTTTACTACGTTCCAGCTTGACGGAGCGGCTTATCAGTGGTGGCGAACATATGAGTTGGGTAATCGACCAATGCAGCTTTACTTACACGGGATCAGTTTTCAGGGATGCTTTGAGAGAGCTTATGCCTTAGCCACTTCGAGATGCATGACGCGCGGAGTTGAGCAGCTGTGCCAGGGCACTATGTTAGTATCAGAGTACGCCATCAGATTCAGTGATTGGCTAGACATGCGCCTGCCTTGGTTGCTACAGTCAGAGAGCGAGCTCGTAGATTCATTGAGGGGCTCAAGCATGATATCTGGTTCAGCATGGCTCGAGAGTTAGAGCCAGGAGTTTTGTTCTAGCAGGAGGTAGGGATCGCTCACCGATTGAGGGCATGCGGGACCGGGAGCAGTAGGGCAGACGAGGTCAGGAGAGAGATAGTACAGAGAGGTGAGGAGGCCTCGTAGGTTGGAGAGATTTGCTGGTCCTTATTTTGGAGGCAAGGTGCGACATAGTAGAGGTTTTGTGGGTCAGCTAGTTCAGTTTGCGCTTCAGGCTTCGTACAGTGATTCAGGTGTTCATGGGTCTCATAGTACTCGTACAGCCACGCCAGCAGCGAGGTTGCTTCGAGTATGGAGATACTAGCCGCATGGTGAGAGATTTCCCTAGATTTCGGGCAGATGTGCCATAACGAGGTACTCAAGCGAGTAGAGGGCGCCCAAGAGGGGTAAGCCTGACTTGTTGATGTGTCTCACATGGTAGGCTTGAGGCTGCTGTGCCAGATGATGTCATTCAGGTATGCTCTCGGTTTGTTATGGAGGAGCCCCATCCGTATTTCATCTCAGTTCTGCTTATCGGGGTAAATTCCCCTATCTGTTGCTCCACTTATGGGTGTGTTTCATGATTTGCACTCTGTTTATGTGATTACCCTATTGGGAGGTTCTACAAGTAATAGCCGTGTCTATGTCTGTTTCTAGTCCTTGTTGAGCGTTATGAGACTAGTAGTAAATTTATGTTGTCCTTCTCGGTAGGCTTGATGTAATTTATGACTATTTTTTACCAGGAGCCATGATGTTTATGCTCCATCAGTGTGGGAGCCAGCACTTGTTGTAAATTGTGACGGAATTGATATAGTGAGAGTTTCCAGCTGGTTTGATGTGTACCATACTTGTGATTCAGGGTTGAGGACGGGACCCTCGTGATTTCATGTGATTTGATGTGTCAAGACTAATACCGGGTATGGATTTAGAATCGGGTCTTTGGAAATAGATGGAAGGTGAGAATTCTGGCTCTAAGGCTTATTGAGTATTGAATTGGCTAGATTTAGGTAAGTAGCTTGCCTAACCTTGTGTGGGGGACTTCCCCCCTAGGATTTGAGTCTTCTATGTTGACTGTAGTTCGTGTACGCGAGGTAACGAGTGCGTGCTCAGACTTATGTGTGAAAAATTGGTCTTTTAGAGTTATTAGATCCTTATATTCACTGTGTATGAATGTGTTCTTGACACGACTGAGTTTCCTATTTACTAGTTTCACATCTACATGCTTGATTGGAAATAACTGCTTCATGATTCACTCTTATTGCTTAACTGACTCCTATTTGATTTAATTGAAGAATTTCGCCTCTCCTATTGTCATGCTATCTTTTCGTAGTTGTTTGTCTTATTTGA